GTCAGACCATCTTCTGGATCTTTGCTGCAGCAGAACAAACTCAGCTGTGGAAGCAGAACCGATCTGAAGCTTCAGACTGAACCAGTGAGTGGGTTCAGACTCAGCAGAATATTAATGCAGAAGCTCTGACTGACGTCTATTGTTTCTGTCCTCAGGTCTGAACTGTGGGAGGAAAAACTCTGCTGTTAAGAAAATTAACATTAACAAGCTCAGATCCTCTGAATGTATTCAAATGAGATGAGTTCACTGCTGCAGCAACGTCAGAAGAAACCAGATCAGCTTGTTGTTGAGTAAACGGTGGAGAACAGAAAGCTGAATGCTGTGGCAGCAAACCCCAGGAACCAACAGGTCCATGGTGCTGAGAGGCTGCTGTATGAAGTTCACGTAAATCTTCATACAGCAACATGCAACGAAACGCTACGACCAGAAAACGGAGCCCCAGTAGTGACTCAGCGTTTAAAAACTGCTTCATTGTGATACGTCATCATGGTCTGGAAACATGACTGACTTTAAACATCAAACGAGCAGACAGAGCTCGTTAGCAGCAGCTGATCAGACACAAACACGTCCTCTGAACAAGCCTCTGGGATCAAACGTCTTCAGGAACCTTCAGCACAAGTCCGGCCGGGTTCTGCTGAAGCTCTGTTGAAGTTTCTGTTTCAGTCCAACGCGCTTTATTGACCTGAATCATAAACTGCTGCTGCTGCTGCTGCTAAAGATCCACCAGAAGATTCAATTATTACATCACAGCTAAACGTCTTCTCAGGTCAATAAACCAGTCTGTAAACTATCTGCTGAACACAGTCTGATCGGGTCACCAGATGTTGGCTCTGCTGCTGTGACCTGGTCTGGAGGATTTATCGATTGAACACCTCCATCTGATATCCATCAATCATCCATTAACCCATTAATCCATTAACCCATCCAGTGAAGCGTCTTGTTTTTCCACAGATTAGTTCAGTTTCTGTCTCGTCCTGCAGACGGAGGAGAAGCTGTTTAATATCTGTTTAAATGTGCAGTTTAACTACCAGAATAACAGTTAAGATAATTAAGATACTCAAGATAATCCTTCATTAATCCCACAGCAGGGAAACGTGCAGCGATGCAGCAGCAACATGAGCAGAAACATAAATATGTAAGAACATTAATAGTAAAGTAAACATTGGTCAGATCCTTCTGTGTAGTGATTCAGGTATTTTGCAGGTATTCTATAAAAAGAATAAATATTGTCATCTTTTAGAGTCTTTAAATGTTCAAAAATAATAAAAGGCAGGTTGTGAGTGACGCTGCAGCAGGTCTTAGCTGTGGTTTTTATTACTTTACAGATTTTGTCCATGCGTTGTTAAATGTAGATGCTATTTCGGAAAATCACAGAAAAAAACACAATTTTACATGTTAACAATGAAATCGGGCTTAAATAAGAAAAACACTAAGTTTTTACTGTATTTAAATAATGAAAAATAACCTTTTAAAACAACAACTTTTTTTTTTTTAAAGAAAGCGTACGTATATAGAGGACTGTGGACTGTAATTTTACGTATTTTTCCTGTTTTGCTAAATTGCAGTAATACCTGAAAAAAATCACAGAAAAAATCATTAATTTACATAATAAAATAAAATAAAATCCACATCACAGATCTGTATTTGTACAATTTGTTTTTGCTTTTTTCAGTAAAATTACAGTTTGACTGTATTTAAATCAGTGAACTACTGTTGTTCTAACAGATACGTTCCATTATTGATAATATTTGAGTTATTTTACAGATAAACTATTAAAAAACAAAAAACTATTCTGTACATGCTGACTGAAGCAAACGGACCTGAACTGGAACTTCTGTCCAGGCCAGTGTAAACCAGTTTGACTGTATTTAAACCAGTTACTGTTGTTCTGCAGATACCTGCTGCTGGTTTCACTGATCTAACATCTCCTAGTGGCACCTGGCTGCTGACGTTCAGGGTTTTTACAGGATCATCTCCAGAGACGAAGCAGCTCTTTATTGGTTCTGCTGAGCGGTGCGGCTGCAGCGGGTCGCCGAGGTTAAAGCTGCCTCATTGATCCGCCGCCCTCGGCTCTGAACATCATCCATACATGCTATTGAACATTCCTCCATCTGTGTCATGTATGTTTCTGAAGCTCTGATGGAAAACGTGACCGATGGAAACACAGAGTTTCACCGTTTACATGAAGAATCCTGCAGTGACAGAACCACCAGCCTGCAGCCATAAAGACCAGTAAGGTCACAGACTTCTGCTCAGGTTTGATCAGGCTGATGAGAACCGTGAGCAGCATGTGGGACCGCTTCCTTCTGGTGACCACAAATAAAAAACTGACCAAAGCAACAAACTGCTCTGTTGATCCCAGAGCTTTCAACCACATCTACAGTCCTCATCAGCTGAGATGTTCGAGAGAAGACGTCACGGCAACGAGGATGAAACTCGGTCAGGTGATGCACGATGACAAACATCTGAACAGCGCCGAGTTAAAACGTGTTTCAAATTATTTAAAAGGTCACAAGCTTCAGTTAACAAGTAAAACTTTCAAACAGCTTCTGGTTGTTTTCTGCTCCCGTCTCCTGGTCCTTCACTGTGGTTCATGTTTCTACATAAAGTCCTGCAGCTCTGAGGAACCAGAACATGGAGGAGGAGGAGGAGAGAGCTCGGAGACGTCTTCTGTCAGCAGAACCATGGAGACCAGGACATCGGTTTGTGTTGCTTTGTCTCATGTCTAGTTGTTCGCTCTCATCTGTTGTTGTTTTGTGTCTCTCTGTGCTCATGTTGAACTATCTCCATGATCCAGACGTTTCCTCTCTACTCATCAGCTGAAGAAAGATGTTCCACCATCAGCTGTAGAAAGATGTTCCACCATCAGCTGAAGAAAGATGTTCCACCATCAGATGTTCCACCTTGCTGCTATTGATGTTAATTTAGAACTTTTGGCAGCATTAACAACCACTAATCACCTAATTGATAAGAGGAATGGATGACTGTGGGTCTGTCCGGTGCTGATGCTACCGTCTCAGTGAGCAGACAGATGTGGACCACCACGTTAACGCCGTTACGCAGGTCTGTGGGAAAAATGCTCAGAAATAAATAAATGTGTCATGAACCTCCTCAGAACTAAATAAATGAGTAAATAGTAAAGGACTCAGACTGGAGGGTCAGTCTCAGGTTGTGACCCCTCCATCCACCCCCACCTCCTCCCCGTGCACCTTCACACCACCTCCTGCTCCACCTGCTCTCTGCTGACGTCATGCCAGCGGCCACTAGAGGTCGCTGCCATGGACACCTGATGCTCACTAAACACAACTTAGAAGCTGCTGTTTGGACTGACGCATCAACAGGTGTCCAGGTGTGTTTCTGAAGCCGCTGCATTAACGTTATGGTCAGACAGAACCAGAACCAGAACCGACCCGCTGCTTCCATCTAGAACTCCTTCATTCTGAACCTTTCTGCGCCAAACTGCGTCTTTAAGCTGCAGCAGCTTCACCAACTTGTCCCACTTCCTGACACCCTGCAGCCCGCTTCACCTCCCGCAGCCCCCGGTTCCGACCGGCGGCTCTGGGTTACCTTCTGGTCCACGATGGAGCACGCCACCTCCCGGACCTGGCTCAGGCTGAGCTCCGCGGCGTCCAGCAGCACCGGTTCCCGGCTCAGACCGATCTGGATGTGGAAGGAGATCACGCCGCCTCCGTTCCCTCCCCCGGTGCCGCCGCCGCCTCCCCCGGTGCCGGAGCCGGAGCCGGAGCCGCCGGTCCCCGGTGAGAACGGCAGCGGGCTGGGCGCACGGATCAGCGGAGGCGCACTCATCGGAGCCGCGGAGTCCAACTCTGCCACGGAGCGACCGGAGAAGTCACGACGGTGGCCGGTACCGGAGGAACGGCGCGTCCAGGTGGAACCGGAGGAGGCGCAGAAGTCCGGAAAAGGCGCAAAGAGCGGACAGAGAGTTGAGGAGAGGCGGAGAGACGGACGGTGACACGGAGGGAGTTCTACTGACTACATGACTGGACCGGAGAGAAACCGGAGAGAAACCGGTGAGGAGGAGAGACACGGACGTCAACGGGAGGAGGGGAGGAGGGGGGAGGAGGGGGAGGAGGCGTTTTAATTCACTGTTCGGTTAAAGTGGGTCCATCACGGAGGCGTTCAGGTAACCCCGGACAGTAAAGGTTCTGGTAACCCGGACAGTAAAGGTTCTGGTAACCCGGACAGTAAAGGTTGAACATGTCAGAGTTCAAAGTGCAGTCCAAATGATCAGAGTCCAATCAGTCATTATTGATTCTGTATCAGTAAAACGGACTTAATGTCTGTCTGTTATTTTAGATGATTAAAGGACTTTTGTTTTTGAATTTTATTTAAAAATATCAGCAAATAGAATTGTAAAATATTTCAGATCAGTTTTTAAAAACTTTTTTGTTTTTGTTTTTGTAATCTTTCCATCAACTGATGCAACAGTGAAAAACCAAACAAACATGAATTCAGTTCAGCTAAAAAAAACAAGTGACCTCATCAAATAACAGACAAGCAGCAACAGAAGAACATTAAAAAATAATCATACTAAAAACATAACCCAAAAAAGCACAAATTACTAAAAATGAGGAATAAAAAATAAAAAAGTACAAAAGAAAATCTGGTGAATAATTAAAATTACTTTAAAAAAGACAAATATTAAAGTAAATATATAAACACATGAATAATGAATTCATAAAACAACAACACAAAGGGAAAAATAGAAAATATGAAACACAAACTGGGGAAATAAAGAATCAAATGTAAATAGAAGGATGCAAAACAAAGACTTGAGTTTTAGTTTCCCCCGATGGAGCAGATCCTGTGAAGAAAACAAAACATTACAAACTCAGAGCAGCGCCTCTGTTTTAATCAGCTGAAATAAATCATGATGGAGGAAAAGTGAATTTGTCCCCCAGCAGAGGTCCGGTGGTACCAGCTGCTCCTCTGCAGCTCTTCCACTGATTCTATCATCGTGTCTGAATCCCAGCTGGGATTTGGAATAAAGTGAATCTGTTTCATTTATGAGCGATTCCTTATTTCAGTCTCATGCTTTACTGGCCTGAGCATGGAGGACAGGAAGCTGTGATTCAGAAAGAAAACCATCCGTGGATGTTTGACCACAATATTGAAAGCCTAGCGAAAGAAATCCTGAGTCCTGATTGGCTGGTCAGAGATGACCTCCATAAAGCCTCAGAGTTCAGTCTGAACACAAACAGCCGATTCACAGACGGTGAGAAACACAGTTCAGAGATGAAAACCAGCCACAGAGACGCTGAAGACGAGAAAAACTGAAGAATCACAGAGAAAACGAACAAATCAGAGAAAAACTAAAGGACACAACCACAAGGACAAGCAGGACGGCTAAACGAGACACAAACGGATCCAACACAGCGATAGAAGCAGAACTACCACAAAGACACTCATTTATCAGAAACAGACGCAAAACAGCCACAAAGAGACCAAGTGTGGCTCCTGGACAGATGATTGGACGGTTCAGTTACACCCCTCAGCTGCTGTGAACAAGCTAACAAGCTAACATGCTAACCTGCTGCTCCGACAGCAGGAAGTCGCTGCTCCGTGTCACAGTGACTTGAAGCGAGCGAGCGGGCCGAGTGCGTTCTCACCTGTTGGCGCTGCGACACTCAGCGCAGGGCGGCGGTTGCTAGGCGACGCTGCATACACACAAAGAGGCTGCAGCAGCCGCCCACGCTGCAGATCCTCGCTTACCTCCGTCGCTGCAGAGACGCTGCCACGCGCCAGGCTCAGTCCGTCTGAGAGGCAGGTTCTGGTGCTGGTTCTGGTGGCTGAAGTTTGGGTCGTGTTGTAACAAACAGCGACTCAGAGTCAGTGATGAAAAGGAACCCGAATGAATGGAACAGCTTCAGTCCGTCTGGTATCGTCGCCTCTCGTCTGCGGCTCCGGTTCTGAGGTCCGACCAGGTATTGTCCTACAGGTGAGCTCAGAATCATCAGGTTCTGGGGTCAGTCAGTACACAAACGGCTCCACTGGAGGTCAAAGGTCACGGTTTCTAACCTGCCGTGGACTGTTAACGGGATGAAGGTGGATTCATGGTGTCTGGTGCTGATGAGCAGCCATGTTGGGGTCTCCTGCTGGTGATGGAACGTCTGACCTTGGAAGATGTTTCAAGGTCATGAAATAGACACTGTTTGTGTATGAACCCACAAACACAGTCGTCCTCAGATGTGTTCACAACCTCCCATTAAAGACAGAAACAGCAGCTTCAGTCACTGGAATCAGCTGAAATGACAAAAGTCAAAATAAATAAAAATCTAATGAACATCATGAGGCTGGTTTGAATCGTGGTTCAACAGAAATATTGTAAAACAACAACGAACCAGCCTGATGGGACCCGTGAACTAACATCTAGCTGAACAACCGTCTGAGCCAATCACTGCCATCAGGTGTTTCTGTAACTCTCAGTCAGACTTCTGCACCTGTTGACAGGTGTTCTGGACCACTGCTCATCAGCAAAGGCCTGTCATTGGTCCAGGACTGTTTTATCTGTTTTTTTAAATTGTTCTTTTCAACCACAATTCCAAACCACTGTCTTATTTCACTAAATTAGAATTCAGCAAATGTTTATTTATTATGACTTTTTTCCAATTTCTACTTGTTTCAGTGACTGTTGTGGATTCTGTCTTTTCGGACGGGGATGAACAGATCTGAGGACGGCTGTCGGCCTCCCATTGAGGCTGGACCATGTGTCCTGGGGGATGTTTCACGGCTGTAAATGTTGATATCATATTTTAAATAACACGTAGACGTGGACAGAACCCGTTTCAGCTCGGACAACCAGCGACCACGACTAGAGACAGAACACGGGTTTAGTGGTTCTGACGGGCCGGCTGCGTCCTCCACTGAGGTTCTCTGGTTTCAGAATCACTGTCACTCCTTCAGTCAGAATTAAAGCAGATTTTACCACAAACTGCAAAATCTCCTTCACGGTGTCTACGTTTCATCAATCCAGAAGAAAAGCAAAGAGTTCAGCCGTAGTGTCAACGAAACTCTAAATGTGTGTCTTCATTTCAATCACTGTGTTTTTGTGTAGTTGTGTGTCTCCTTGTGGTCACTTCTTGTGTCTTTTTGTCTATTGTGGGTCTGTTTTTAGTCATCGTGTGTCTCTCTGTGACTGTTCAGGTGTTATCGTCCTGTTTCTGCTCATGTGGCATTTCTGTGGACATTTTGTGGGTTTCTCGTCATGTTTGTGTTCATTTTTAGTCAATCCTCCGTCTCTTTATGCTCGTTGTTTGTGTGTTTCGTTTGTGTGTGCTCATTTGTGTTTTATTCCTGTGAGGTTGAAGAGTCTTTGTTTGACACAGTTTAGGAGATTGTTGCTCATGTACACACTGCAGGACGTCCAGGGGGCGCTGCAGGACGCTGCAGGACGTCCAGGGGGCGCTGCAGGACGCTACAGATGCTGCAGATGCTGCAGATGCTGCGGACGCTGCAGGAGCTCCGGGAGCAGAGCTGCACTGGACCATCAGAAACCAGGAGGTCCTTAGTTTCTATAAACGAGCAGAAAATAAAAGCTCCTGTCAGAAGTGTGAAAGTGAGACAGAACGGTGTGAAAGCTGAAGCCGGACTGAGGAGGTTGAACTTCTTTCAGACACATGAGGCGCTTTGAGTCGTAGCCATGGAGATACTAGATCACGTGGGCTTCGTCCAAACACTGCTCGTTGGACAGTGAAGATCAGGTTCGCTTTATTGTCACTGCATTGAGTACAACAACAGTCAGGTGCAGCTTGTCAGCGCAAAAACATAGAAAAACTATGTAACAACGATATACAACATATTATATAAAGATGAGCTTAACCAACAAGCACGAGCCCAGAGGCAGCTGCATATTAACAATATGTTGTACTTATTATGATAAAGAGGCCTTTATGGCTCCGACAGCAGCTGGACAGAAGCTGTGTTTCAGTTCCTTGTCCTGGTTCTGATGGACCTGTACCGGCTGCCCAACGACAGCGGCTCCAACAGGAAGTGGCCCAGGTGGTCTGATCCCTTCAGGCTGTCGACTCTCCTGAGGCAGAAGGAGCCATGGAGGTCCTCCAGTAGGGGTACAGGCCACCCAGTGACCTTCTCAGCCATTTGGTGGCCATGTGGAGATCAAGGACACGTCGACACCGACTGCTAAACCCGCTGGTTTCTCTTCAGCAGAATCCAATTTGGTCTGAAACCCTGAGTTCATGTGGGCCAGGATCTGGTTCTGAATGAGGTCCGGTTCGAGGACCGGCGGATCCTCCCTGATGCTTCCTGTCCTCCAGCTGATCTGTGTTCTGGTGATTCACTGAGTCCAGCTCCAGCTGGAGTGATCGTCCTTATTTATAGACGTGAGCGGCGGCGCTGAGTCACAGGCTCCATGACGGACAAGTTTATTTGTGAAAGACGGAGGAGAGTCCTGATTGGACGCCGAGGACCTTTGGTTCAGATAGCGTCAGCTTTCTAACATTAGAAGAACATTTTACTTTCATAAAGTCAGAAGCAGAACAACTGAGATGATCTGTTTGGATCAAAGCCTCCAGAAACCAGCTGGAAGTGATTCATGTCAGGACCTGAACCTCCTCCTGTGTGTTTAACGTCCAGTCGTTTGATCCTCGAGTGTCTTGTTGCATCTCTTCTTGGAGTTTTTCATCTCTTTAGTCATTTTGTTCTTGTTTTGTCTGTTTTGTTTGTTGTTTTGGCTTCGTTGTGCTCATTTTGTGTCTTTCTGATCATTTTGATTTATCATTTTCATACAATGAGCATCTATTTGAGTCAGTTTTGATCTGATTTTGCTG